CGGCATATCAGAAATAATAAAAAAGGTTCAGTATCATGGCGCTGTATCAACAAGGAGTGTAGTGCTGCGATATTAATTCATTTAAACAAATCTGTGAAGGCCAACATCATCACGAACCAATCTAGAACAACAATGTATTCGTGGCATAAATACCTTTTTTATTATTTCTGATATGACGATATCGATGTGAATTATAAATGCAAATTTGTGAACCACGCTGATCGGTTTCAATTTCAAATTCTATTTCGTAAAATATTTGTGGGTATACATATATTTTTGTGCAGAGAATATATACCTTTTTAGGAATTATTTGATTACTCATTTCTGATATTAGCTCTGCCAATTTCTCCAACAGTTTCCCAGAATTTCTTGATTTTTACTCATTTGTCGTATCAGTCATCATTTATTTTATTTACACAGCATTTAAATTATGTTCAAATAAAGAAGCGTAGTAGTAGCTTTTCGCTGTACGGACGAAATATCACAATCAAATTAAGAATATATGAAAGAGTATATGTATTTTTCTATTTCTAACAGTCCATCTTTTACTTGCTAATTAAAGTGCGCGGAGTTTGGGAAGTAACGGAATTTTCACTTATTTATAAAATATTTCAGATTTATTTATAAAATATTTATTTTTCTAAGGTCTCATATTAGAGAGAAAAGTGCGCTGAATATTTTGAGACTTTGGCATATTCTACACGTTCTTTTGTTTAAGGACTATAGAAAAAATACGAACTGCTGCTTTTTCAGATCAGATTTGCAAAGTATTAGTTTGCATTTTTGCTGTATTTCCTAAACAAAAGCACGTGTAGAGTGAGTTTCAAAATGTTTTAAAAAAAGTTTCAAAATATTTAACACACTTTTCTGCCTAATATGAGACATCGCAAAACTCTGGACGTGTCCTCGTGCGAGAATTATAGCAGAATCAAAATGCAAAGCATGACCACAAGCCTGTAGCAACTAGAAAGAGAAGAATTCATATCATTTTAATTTCCTTGACAAGTATAAAAGCTTTCAGAAATATGTAGAAAACTTTGCTATCAATATTTCGTTTTTGAACGGTATACGAAATCTTTAAAATATTTTCTCCCTTTTTGAAGGTTTAAAATAAACGATTAACAGTTTTAAATCTTATCTCGGAAATAGTTGTACGTTAAACCAAATTTTCATTCCTTGGTTGAAATTAGTTTGCATATGAGAGATTAACATAACTCTTACAAGTTTATTTTCTACAGCCATATTTACAAAAAAATTCTTAAATAGGTTGCACAAAATGTAAAAATAAATTATGTACAGAGAAAAATATTTCGTCCTTTAATTCTTCTACTAAGGTTTTGTTGCCATTGCCTGTTGTATTTTTCGTAATTTTTTCTGTTTATTTCCCATTGCACAATATTTTCGAGTATGAGCTTGATCTCCAGATTCACCACACATTGGACATTGATATGATCGTAAAATTGGACATAATGTTACATTTCGTGCATTATCACGTAATTTGTGCGACGTATAAACTTCATAATTTTCACCATTACATTTACAAAAATTACATAACACATGCTCATTGTAATGTTCACGACGATAACGGGAGTATTCAATCAACGATGATAAATCAAATTGTTCACTACGAATTGGTAATGACGAAGGATTGTTAGTTGTTGCTGTTGTAATTGAAAATGGATTTGAATGATTGGATGATAGAATTGTTGATAATTCATAACTCGATGAAGATTCAGAAGATGAAGACGTTGGACGATTTGCTGTTGTGGATGATGGTGTTTGTTCGTTGAAAAATGGATACGACGAAGGAATTGGAGCAGTGAACGGATTGTATGGATAAGGCTAGAAGTAAACGAATGTTTTAGATATTTAATGTTCATACAGGATAAAATAAATACTTGCAACAGCAGTTACACATGAAGATAACTCTTCAAAACAACTTTTCTTACATTCTGACGCTATAAACTGATAGAACGTGTTTTTCAACATCAGTAGAGTCACATGGGGTAATTCTGATAATCGCCTAAAACTTTTCAGATATTTTGAGCATATTTAAGTCATCTTTCACCGAAGACAATCAGTATTATGGAGGTAGATAGAGCTGACTCTTAGCTATCTACTGATGTAAAAGTTTTCCTAAAATTCGTTAACATTAATTAGTAATCAATTTCAAGGAACAGGTTTAGAATTATCATAACTACCCCAAAGAAGACAAATGAAAAAATTGACTGTCTGTTACTTTTCGTAATTTCTAATTAACTAATTTAGATTAAGTCCAAATGACTGACTATTCATATGGGAGATAGGGCAGAAAATTCTCTACAAGATGGTGTACTTTTTAGTCAGTTTACTACAAGTTTCCTGTTGAAACTAAATGGTTTAAGTTCATTCCAGCTATTTTGGCTGTAGTTATCGTAATTTTCCCATGAAAAATAGCTGTGTTATCACAATTACCCCAAATGGGGAAATTATGATAATTCTATACCTATTCACTTGAAATTGATTAGAACTAATTAATGTTAACGAATTTTAGGAATTTTTTTACATCAGTAGATAGCTAAGAGTCAGCTCTATCTACCTGCATAATACTAATTTTCTCCAGTGAAAGATGACTTAAATATGCTCAAAATATCTGAAAAGTTTTAGGCAATTATCAGAATTACTCATGTGACTCTATGTTACACAACTGCTTCCGAGTTCCCAACGACCGGATGTTAATAAAAACTAGTGAAAACGGTTTTACAAGAATCAATAAAAGATTCTTTTTCGGTAACTCTGCATAAGTAAACTGAAATGTGATATAATAAAGCTTTTAAATTGGACAGTTTTTTTGTATAACAGAGCAAGAGAACGCTCTACCTTCTCGAGAAGTAAAACAAAAGAAAAAGGAATAGGAGGTTTATCGAAGAGATTTTTCTCTGAGATGCAACTGTCAGAATAACATCTTCTAATGTCAAAGATTTAACTTCAGACGGTAGCCAGAGTTGGGCGCAACAACGAAAAGTAACGTTTACACTTACCGATTGGAAAAAGAATAATTGCGTTGGGAGAGTCGGTTGAACTGGAAAATAATTGACACTCATACTTGGAATCGAATTCATGATTGAGTTAAGATGATTGTGACGAGTTGTTGACATATGATAGAAAGATTAGAAAGTGTGATACGTAATAAAAAATTCATTTCTTATATACATTAGTTGTATACTTTATTTTCTGTATTGCAATCAGTTAATACCGAGTTGTAACTTCAAAGGGTTATCGATACATTCTTAAGAAATACATTTTTGTTCTGTGTAAAATTATCAATTAAATAAATAGTGTATCTTCAATCGATACATTTCATGAGTAAATTTTTTTTGCAAAAATATCATCAAAGAGTGCATTTTCCTTTAACTCTACATTGGTAGTATCTCTTTGATTTTACGTTTCATTTAAAACGGTCAAAGAGCGCAGTAGTTTTCGATATTTATCAAATCTATTTCCAAATGAATGCAGTACTTAAACAAAGTTTGTCGTCCGAATGAAATATATGCTGGATGTTCAAATATTCCTCGAACCAGACTACACTCATCTTGAGAACAAGAGGATGAGACCGATTTACCGTTTTAATAGAAAAAGAGAGAGGGCGGTGTACTATCTTCTAGCATGAAGAATCCGCCACTACGAGCGGTACTAATGGCCGCTCGTACCTTTTTGATATGTATGAGCGAGCTTGCTTGGCGAGATAACTTCAGAATGTATATTTCTTAAAATTTGTTTTCAGGTGCGCAGTAATACGTACTCTCACAAAAAAAGTCAATTTAATACTATATTGAAAGACCTGTTTAAAAACCGCTCATACTGTTAAAAATTTGTGGATCCTAAGTAAAATTGGACTCTCTTAGCCTCTAAAAACATGTGGTAGCTGCAATTTAAAACGCCTCTGAACTTTCTGACTTGTAGGATTATGGCGAATCCTGCAGATATGAACTTTCTTTTTTGGTCGATAAATCATTTGTCCAATGTATGGAAACTATGCCGATGCAGAAAGTGCGGAAAAGTGTTTAATTCAACACAGAACAAAACAAACTCAAGAACATTTGAGGCTGTTAATGTGATGGTCAAAGAAAGGATGAAGCGTAGTGAACACCGAATCGAGACGGTTTTAAACAAGATAAGCCATCATGAATCTGTATCATGAGTGCTTATAATCATTCGGGACTCATTCAAGAAACAAAGGCAATATTTTGCTAGTTCGATAAGCAGGAGCGTATATCAATCTAATTGTTAAAAAGTAATCAATTTTTTTATTTTATTCTGTATCTGATCTTGCTAGATTCAATTTTACAACTATGAATTTAACAAATTTGGACGGTGTATTTGTATCGCAGTGTAAAATAACCCAATCTGCTTTTGTTTCATAGATGCCTCTATCGTTTTTAGTCATTGCTAGATATTCTCAGAAAATTAAACTTAACACTATCCAATGATTATAAATATAATATATATTACTATATTATGATTGGAGGACTAATCAGAGTGATTAGTGAATCGTTATTAGTTATGAGTCAGGAGCTTGTTGGATAAGTATTTATATAAACGGATTAGGAAATTATTTTGAACAAGAACGAATAACGATGAGTACAACTAACAGCCACGGTATGTGAAAACAATCTATTGATATAGGTCGAACGTTGGTGATGAATGAAATTTTATTTTAGTTTAATCTATATTTATTAGTCAACTAAAATAAGCATCACAGATAGTCAGGAATCCGTTTTGAAAGTTATTTCTTCACCGTATTTGTACAGTTCTAAAGTAGAATTTTTCAACACACGTACGCTTCTTAATATTTACACATCGATACGTAAGCGGTAAAAGAACCATATTCTGAGACTGAGTTTTCGAAAAATGTTGTTATAAGTAAAGAATTAGAAACATTAACACTAAGATGCAGAGGCAGCGGAACCATGGGGTCCGTAGATGCCTTGACACTCACAGATTTTGAAAATTTTCTAGGAAAAACTAATTTTTTCTTTGCATTCGTCTCCTTGAGTACCCATAGTTTCAGAATCATTCCACCGTCTTTGCTAAGACGGTCTCAAGATGTTATAAAATATGCAACTCCAATTCCATGGAATATTTTTCTACGTGGTAAATCATGTGTTTTATCAATTCTGAACTATGGTTGTATTATTTACTCCTTAACTACTGTGGCTAACTTGAATAAATTAGAAAGTGTGCAATATAAAGCAGCAATTGCAACTGTAGGTGCGATGAAAGGAACATCAAGAGAGAAAGTGTACGGAATATTAGGGTGGTTCTCTTTGAAAGATCATTTC